TCCAACCACCTTTCGGTCCATCAGTGGATTCGCTCTGCCATCCATGATTCACAACAACCAATCTCTCCTATAGGTTTCCTGTTTTTGAAACTTCCGCCACCGCCTTGTGCGGTACTACTGGTATACGTTAGGTTGGCGACAGGTTCATACGGACCTTTTTCACCTTTCTGCAGCAAAACTCACGGTATCCACCCCGCCAGAATAGTAACCAGCACTCTGGACAGCGGTGATCAGCCGTGTTTGATCTTCTTTAGGTCGCCAGCTGATGTCATACTTCTGGTTACTTCTTGCATTTTTTGCATTAACCTTTCCTCAAGACTTGACGCACTGAAACAAGTGACTTAAACTCTCCAAACCGTGAGGTCTCTTGGCATCCGAACTTGCATCCAGACTTTACTCTGGCTAGCTGCTCTCACGATGGTACCATCCGTCTCTGGAGTGTGCCACGTGCTGAGCTAAGTGCCTTGTTGCGCCCCACGGAGAATGGCTACATCAAAGGGGTCGCTTTCGACCCTTTGGGGCAATTCCTTGCGTGCATGAGCGATGGAAGCAGCAGTCACAGCAAACAAATCACTGCAACGTTGTGGCAGAGCCCTGAAGATGCAGGAGATGCAGATGGAAGGCCAAGACATGGCAGGAACACACGGCAGGGAAGCGACTGGACAGCAGGCTGGCAGCAAGTGCCCATCAACCAACAGCCATGGGAGAAGCCTGGGCTTCTCAGTGCCACTGTGAACTTCCGACGTCCCTCCTGGGATCCATTAGGCCAGTCGGTTGTGTACCCATTTGGTGAGCACAAGAAGTTTCCCCTCAGCACGTGTAGATTCTATGCAGCACTCTTCACACCTCCATGGAAGACCCCAAGGCTTTATCGTGGCCACAAGCAGCATGTTGCCGTGGCCCGCTTTTGCCCCACAGTTTTTGGACGTTTTCCTGGGAGCAAAGATATTCCTCATAAGAGCCATGACAGCCATGATACTCCTGATGTTGCTGTTGTTCTTGCTTTGGCCTGCATGGACGGCATGCTGTCCATTTGGCTCTCCAATCATCCTGTTCCACTTCTTGTTTTGAAGGACATTGTTGCTGAGAATTGCTTCATCACAGACATTGCATGGACCTCTGATGGCTCGGGCTTGGCCTTTTCCTCCAGTGGTGGGCTAGTTGGGTCCGTGTCGATCTCATGGAACAAGATTCTCCCGTGTGGAGCATGGACCTTGCAGGAAATTCTCCAGTGGCGCTGTCAACGGCATTTGCATGTCATGCAACCATCTTGGGACTTACCAAGTAGCATCCACGCCCTACCAGATCTCCAAACATCACGCACTTCAAACGAGGTCCAAGGACAACCGAAGACAGGGAAGCCTCCAAAATTGTCACAGTTCTATGTCCAAGATCCTGACCTGGCTGCTTTGAACGGAGCTGAATGGGCTCCAGTGCCCAAATTTCTCACGCAAAGTGTCACAAGGATAATTGATGTGGAAAGCGCCCAGCAAAGGCAACAACTTTTCACATCCTGGCGACCAGCAGCTAGGATTCCCAACGCGGGTCCTGTGCCGCCAACCTTCGCATGGTCAGTGGAGGACTCCATCAATGGCTTTTCTTGGCTTTGCTCAAGGCTTTGCCCATCTCATGATTCTTGTTGGAAGTCAAGATGACTTAAGACTTATATAAGCCGTAAAATTAAGCATTTTTTGGTTTAGAGTTTAGAGCGAAGTTTTTTTTTGCTCGCTGTGCCTAAGCCGTTGTTAAGTTGTTCTATGCGCAAGACGTTTGGACAATATTTGCAGGACGACGGCATTGTGGGCTGCAGCATTTTCCATCGCCGTATTTTAAAGATTGCAACTTGGCCTTGGGCGATTTGCCAAGCCAGCAGTAGTCCTGTATTGTGCATTATATTTGGTCGATTTCCCCCCTCACACCCAGATACAAGATCAATATGATAGGTCAACAATGATGGTCTATGCAAACAACGGAAACAAGAAGAACAGTGGAGAAATATGGAGAAGTCACCTGCTGTAACATGTTGTTATTATTGTTTGCTCGCAATCTGTTGCAATATTGTTTGTTCTATCCATTTCTTGTTCGGACTTTGTTCCCTTTTTATCCCTTTTCCGGTGTCAGCACTGCCAGCACTGCCAGCACTGGGCAAAGGAGCCAATGGTGGCCAGCACTGGGCATCTTTGCCGTGTGTCTTCGAAGCTCGAAGGAGGTCCGTCATGGCAGATCTCGATGCAGAAGCGGGTGGTCCTGGCAAAGCTCCAAGGACTGCAGACGGCTGACACAGCTGACACGGCTGACAGGGCTGACAGGGCTAACCTTCCGGAGTATGACACCAATTCTGACGTGCGAACTGGGAAGATATTGGAATTGGTTTTGGAGTCTTAGTGTAAGATTCCGTAGCTGGACTGCATCTGATCTCTGCCCCTATCTAGTGTATTCCACACACCGTCTGGTACGCAGGATTCCACCATTCGCATACTCATTCGCATACATCTTAGTGACTTAGTGGCAGGGGGTTACACCCAAATACAGGTACATGTTCAAAATGCAGGCGGTGAAATGCCCATGGCTACTAATAATACAACATATTTTTCGAACATGAATCTGAAAAACCAAAGATTTCACCACATGCATGTTGAACATGCACTTGCACCCAACATGAATTTCGACCACGAATTTCGAACATGCATTTTGAACATGCATTTTTACATATTTTTACCACACATGCATTTTGAACATGGAAAAACATGCATGTTTCATGCATTTACCTTCAATAGGGTCCGATGCTGTAGAGTAAATCATAACTGTAACCATCCAATAGAATCTAACATATTTCAATATGTTTTCAGCTAGGGTCCTCTTTAGCTTCTCGATGTACTTGATGTAAAGCCGGGAGGACCTGCTGCTGTTCTCTTGGTGGAAACTGCCCAGAGCCCTAAAAGGCAGCTGATCATCCTGGCGTCGGAGCAACTGGGGCTTGATGACGTGTGGCACGTGTGGAGTAGTGTGATGCGTGTGATGCCTTGATTGGCCTTGATTGGCCTTGATTGGCCTTGATTTGCATGATTCAACATGCGTCAATATGCTGTATACTCTGAATATCTCTGAATATTGCATCCTGATCTACTGTATTCTGATCCACTGGAAGGACAGGGTTGGCTTTGCAGGTCGTGTCCTGAGTTCACACTGGCACTAAGGTCTGGCAGACTGCTTGCGCCACCAATCTTACTCCCTTTAAACTGCCCAAAGATTAAATTGGCAGAGAATCTCGGCGAGCGCGTTCTCAGGCCACATGACAAAGCAGTTGATGTAGCGCAGACCGACTGCATAATATACAGATGTTGTAGAGACATGTAGAGACTAAGATCGAAATTGCCGACGGGTTGTCATTTGTCAGCCACATCTCAGGAATGGCACACTTTTGCTGCTCCTGGACTCAGCTTGCCTGAAGATGCCCCTCAGCTCACTAGGGCCACTTTGGCCGACCGGTTTACTTATATATTTATCTAGCAATACTGCGAGTCAATGTAAATTGCACAGTTGCTTCAACCCTTTGTCATGCTATTTGACATTGTTTATGTATGTTCTATGCCATGAAGCTTCCGGCTCTCTGGTCTCCTATCAGGGGCAGAATGGGGCAGAGCGTTGCAGATGTGACTCCTGTGGGCACACACCCCCAGGGGTTGTAGCTTCTCAAGGTGGCAACTGCGAATGCAGGGTGCTCCTGAGTTGGTGCTGTCAGCGTTGGTGCCAAAGCTCTACGACACGGCTGAGATAGGTTGGACCCTCAAAACAGCCTTCAATCACCCCTAAACATGTCATAACATGTCCAACATGTGAAGCATGACAACATTACTTCAAATGCCCTCTGTTGGAGCAGTGCTTCGCCGAATTGTGCAGGCGTACTGCGCATGGGGCCTTGTGGAGTACCATACCTTCGCCGGGAAGGCAGATAGGTGGTACAGAAGTGTAAAACAGCATGATACAGACACAGACACACAGAGAGACCAGGTGGCACTTCAAAGCTCCTTGTCAGCAGGAAAGAGCCACATCGCGGTGTACAACGAAGGTCTGAAATCTTGGTTGATGATCAGATGGTCACATCCTTAAAACGAATGCGTGCCCTGATGTGCCCTGGGTTTGTCTGAAGTTGGCGGCTTTAAGCAGAGCTGCTTGCGAATGCCATAGGCGTCTTTTGGAGAAGCTGCTTGTGGAAGGAAGCCGAGAGGCGGGAACAATGCTGTGCCATGTGCATGTGCATCCCATTTACATCCCATGTACATCCCATCCGTATCCCATCCGTATCCCATCCATGCATTGGATTGCATTGAGTGTGCGGATGATCCCACCGCAGGACGTATTTTGTACATGGCCGGATGGGCTAAAGCCGAAAGGACACGGACCATAACTGATCTGAGCTGATATCAATGAGAGATATGAGAGATATGATGGTTATGAGTTATGATAGTTAAGTTAAATGACATTGACTCATTTGACTCGACCTCATCCACTTGGAAATCTTGGAACGTGGGCCATGATGCCACAATATGCCACAATCCTGGTGTCAGCGCTGGTTTTGGAGGAGCTTCTGGAGCCTTCGATCAGCTGGGCCAAGAATTGTCTGTGACCGTCTCGGACTCCGACCGTCTCACGGGCAGTATCACAGGATGTGGCAATTGGAACACATCTGAAGTATCTAAAGAGTCAAGTGATGTCAAGGGATGTCAAGGGATGTCAAGGGGCGGGGGTTCGCTTGAACATGGGCGTTTGGCTCGCTTGTGCGTGGTATTTTGGATCGCTTGAACGTGGGCCATGTGGCTGGTCTGCCGTTCGTGACATGTTGCACATGCTCGCTTATGGCTGATAACATTCTTGAGGAGTTTAGACAGGGTCCACGGAACTTGTTGCCGTTGAATTGAATTTCCCCAGGTCCAAAAGGAAATAACAGCTGTCAATCGACTTCCCTGTTGCGTCGTCCCCATGTCCCCATGCCCCAATGTCCCCGCCCCCCCCTGTCCCCTAAGTGTCAATCCCTAAAGGTGTGAGGGGTGTCCAAGTATCCAATGTTCAAGTGATCCAAAAGCCAAAGTCCAAGTGATCCTGGCGCCATTAAGATCATTAAGTGTGAGAAGCCTTTAAAAGCAGAACTGCTGCGAATCACTGGCTTTTAAAACCAGAACAAAAAAAGATAAACTCATCTGCATCTGCATCCAGTTCAGGTGCGGCAAGTGCTGCCAGGGAAGCTCAATCAGCTGCTTGAGCTCCTCCTTGAACTTGGTTTTTACGCCGTGGAGGTGCGCACGTGCTGTGTCCACATTTGCCATCTGGATACATCTTGAGATATTGCATATTTTATGTCACAGGAAGTCACGGGAAGTCATTTGGGTTTTGATGCCAGGAAGACCTTCCCGGTTTGCTCTTGGAGCTTCGGAGCGCTCTTGCTCTCGCACAGGTGGAACACTTTGATTTTGATTGAAATTACCTCTTGCATTCACTAGTGAAATCTTGTTACACTCTTGGGTACAAGATCAAGAAGCAAATGTCAAGATTTGCTGCCTGACTTTTTGGAGGCCCCTGCCGAAGAAAGACCGGGAGGCAAATGGCTGAGCATTTCTAACAATAGCAATTTCATGCGGAGACTTTTCAATTCGAGTCGAATTTGCAGCGTTTCGCAGATTCGGGAAGAAGCCAGTCATCAGAGGCGCTGGTGGGAGCGGCATCCTGTGGGATTTGGTGTGGCGTGGGTAGTCATGGTCCTGGTGTGAAATGCCGAAGGTGTCGCCACTTGGGCGCAAGATTTCTGCACCCGAAACTTGGCAGTGGATTGTGTAATGATCCTCGATGATCCCTTCAGACCTGCAAGATGAAACCTAGATGCTCCTTGATGGATTCTTGATGGATTCCAATGGATTTAGAATGATTTAGACCTGCTTTCACTCTATCTCTTCTCACAATTTCTCACATCTCTCGTAGCCTACGGAGCTCACTGAAAATGTTCCGAATCGTTGCAGGCCAGCCTTGCAAAGGCGATCAAGCTATCAATGACGACGGGCTCTGTCAAATTCTGAGCTCACAGTTCCAAACAACATCCAGTTGATCAAACTCTCGGAATGACCAAGTATGACCAAGGACATGTTAAGACTAATTAAGGGGGATGTGTCACATGATTCAAATATATATTCAAACATATATTCAAACATATTCAAACGATGTCAGTTGTTTGTGTCTCAATCAGCGTGAGGACGTCACAATGTGCCTCACAGCTGTGAAGTCAGGAAGATCAGCTCCATAGCACTGCGACGCAACTGCAGATGCTTCTGACCAATTTGGAGGTCGCGGCGGCCGGCCCAAAGATGCTGGATGCATTTGGATGCCGCTGGATGCCACAGACTGTGAAATGTCTTGAAATGTGTTAAACATTGTTAAACTGTGGTCAGGCTGCTGACGCTGAATGCAGAGAAGCCGCGGGATAAGAAAGGATGAAAAGATGCGCTGCAAGTCACTGCAAGTCATGAAAACGGTTGGAATTGGCCCTGCATGCTCAGCTGTCATGGAGTTTCTTTGAGCTTGTTTGAATCGAAGGGGGCGCGTGCCTTTAGCAACGCACGTACAAGATGAGGGTTGGGATGGTGTGTCAGGCATCCAAGGCATGCGAAAAGAGCTGCAGGAGCTGGGAGCCAAGTGGTGTTTCATTCATCATTAGTCATTGGCCTCACTATATATATATATATTATATATAAACAATTATATATATATATTTCTTTCACTATCTTGCATTTGTATGTATACTTATGTAATTACATTAATTATATCAAATTAAATCATATTATCTTGTATTTATATTGTGTTTATATTGTGTATATATTGTATGATTTATTACGTTATTAGTATTAGTATTAGCATTAGCATTATTAATATTAGACTTCCAGGCTTTCAAACTCGGACTCTGGTGATCTTTGGTGATTTGGTGATCCCTATCTCAAACTACCCAGGCATCTTCAGCAGCTCCAACAGAAGGCAAACCAATCAGCCTTGGTCTTCAACTCAGCATGATGCTCTCATATGCTGTCCTTCATTTTGCTCCAGCTGCTGACTTCAGGCAACTATGCAGGTGCGGGCTTTGCCGCAACTGCTTTGTTGACACAAACTCTGTGAGAGATTGACAAGTCGGCAAAAGGAAACCGGCATTCTATATCATACTGCACCGATATGCTGGTGTACCGATGCATGAAGGATACTTCCTTTTGGCAAACTTAATCAACAAAAGTAATTACTGTAGATGTAGATCCAGTTCATTTAAGCTGTTCTTTGATCAGTCCACCAAACCATTTGCAAGTTTTGGGCTCAGGGTGCCCGTTATTTCAGTGGCGAGAGCCATGGCCCTCACTGGAGTTGTCAAGTCTTTCAACCCTCACAAGGCAGCAAGGTGATGCCACAGTGATCCACGGTGAATGCCATGTGAATGCCATGTGAATGCCATGTGAATGCCGTGAATGTTGGATGTTGACCTTCATCATTTGCTTCTCTGTTCGAGTCGGTTTTTTTCGTTTGTCATGTCCAAACTGGGGAAACTCACAAGCTAATGGTACCTGCACTCCGCTGCAGGGATGGGGTTTCATTGAGAGCAATGGGCAAGATGTTTTCCTCTACAAGGGCGATCTGAAAGGAATTTGCGTGGACAAAGGTACTAATGTGCAATTCACCATGAAATCGTTCCTCAGACTTGGAACGCATGCTTTTGTTGTTTTTTGTTGTTTTATGTTGTTTTTTTGCTTTTCTGGGTGTTCCCCGATACTGTTTCTCTGCAGTTTCTAAGTGCTCTCCAATGCATTCTTTTGGGTTGGCGCTCTTTTTTCTTGCCTTTGGGAGTCTTGAAACCTAAGGACTGAGAAAGGAACTCAAGCAGAGAACGTGGTTGTCATTATCTCCCCGGATGAAGCAAGCTACTTTGGGGAAATCAAATCCTTCAATTCAATGAAGGGGCATCATGGTTGCAGCTGCGGGCTGCTTTGAGATTGAACTATTTCGACCCGGCCTGAATTTTTCGAAGTGCTAGGCAGTTGGGCAGAACTTGTCTTAAAGTGATGCGAAGAAGACAGAGAAAGAGAGAGAAAGTGAGGGAGACAGATCAGCATTCAGAATAGCCAGTATAGCCCATAGCAAAGACGCTCTTCCTTGTTCAGCCATTTTCATTACTCCGGCAAGTAGCCGCAAACAGTGTGTAGCAGTAATTTCTGTGCGGATCCTTTTAGGCAGGATCCCGATACTGGGACCATGCAAAGGAATTCTCGCAGGATCTCTGTACAGGGCCCCGTCAAGGAACCCGCAGGATCTCTAGAACGACCCCTTCTTTAGAGGATCTCTGCGCCAGGATCTCTGGCAATATCTGGCAATGACCTGCAATGAGCACCGTGCCCCTATAGCGAGAGCCATAGAATTTCACCACGCGCTGCGCACGCCACGAACAATGAAACTTGAACATGCGAAAAAACGATGTTTTACTTGGGTCCACTCGCTCCTTCATCGAGGTCCCCAAAGACCGCCCCAGAAGCACCCGAAGCATTGCGTTTGCCACATAGGATGACCCCCAGGCACAGAATCTAAAAGTGATGAGAGCCACACAAAACAATGGTTCCGAGCCTTTCAAAGCACCATCTAAGTTTGCCAACGCCTGGCACCTCTAACTTAGACCCGCGCCTGCCAACACTTCAGCAACGTGCATGCACGAAGACACGTGAAGGAAAAAGTGTCCGATGTCCTGCATTTGCCACACAAAACGAGATGCTGACCATCCGAAGGAGACGAATCTCTAGCGCCTGCCAGGCAAAATGTGCACAGCTTTAAAAATAGGACACGGCGGGCCGGTACCCTCTGATAAGAGCAAAGTGTTCCCACATGCCACCACACATTTTGTGCGAGCCTGCTCGGTCAAGACAAACATCGAAGATCTTAAAATGAACTTTTGCGCGAGCCTGCAAAGACAAAAAACGTAGACCACGATCCGAGCCCTCCAGCAACCCTGGCCTTTAACACTTACTCTTTCTGTACAGTAACTGCTGTAACTGCTGCTTGGTGTGGACACAGTATTGTTTGGGGATTCTTGGATCATGACCGACCAGCCCAGATGCGCTCCAAATGCGCGTCCTCAATCTAAAAAGTGTGTCCTTTGCCTGAACCCTGCAGCCAAATTCTGGGCCAAACCAACCCGCACGGACCTTAAAGAAACTGGCCAGCTTTCGGATCTTTCGGTTCTTAACCGTTTATCTTTGATGTTATTAAACAATATCATTAACAATCAAACGATCCCCTCGTGCAAGAGTGATGTTGCTGGAACTTTCTGCTAAGGTATGGATTTATCACAAGCGAGGCTTTCCCAAATCAGGACGGTGCAACATTGCTGCCGGTGTTTGTTTTATCAGTTTTAGATTCCCCGAGAAATGAGGATACCCTTTTCAGCTCGCAGGATATCTTCCTGCTGAAGACCGACATTCAAGATGGTTATGCGCCCGGCGGCTGTCCTTGCAGGCTGGGACCGGCTGTGAAAGAGTTAAAGACTACTCCATTGACTTAGAAACGACGACTTAAACGACTTTACCGTTTTCAGGCCCGAAGGTGCCGCAAAGTCAGATTTTGCAATTTCTCCCAGCCCATGAGCCGAGATCATGCGAGCACCTTCGGGCACCGGGCAAGGTTCAAAGTTACCATGGAGGAGAAGGGGCCGCGTGCAGCCTGGCAGATTTTCAAAAGAAACAACCATAAGCAGCCTGCACTTCGAAACGATATGAATCGGATATAAATCAGGTGTATTGTATGCATGCCAACTCATAGATTCTAGATGCAGATATACGGACATATACACCTGCAGTTTTGGTGTTTAAGTAGGACATGGTTTTCACATGTTTTCACCATGTCCAAACCATGTAACGTGCTGTGCCAAGGCTCAGGAGGTGCAACTCCTGGGGCAAGCTGCGCAGGACATGAGCTACTCGGAATTTCCAGATCAATAATTCGGCAACACAGCAGGTATTCACTACATATTCACTACATGTTCAACATATCCAACAAACATCACAAGATGAAGCAATCCTATCGCTTTCTTGTTAGATTATATATATATATGATTTTGTAGTTTCCTTTGTTGATGTGTCTTCATACTTTCTTTCGACATTTTCCTATGTTTTCCGTGCACTAGAAAGAGTGTTTTTAGTAACAGTTTTTAGGCCTTTTCCCTTTTTCCATCTTTTTCCCCTTTTGCAAGTTTGAGTGCTGTTTCGTGAGGCATGTGGGGTGGCTGGGGTATGAAAGGAATGAAAGGCAACGTGGCCGCGCATATTTTGGACTTTGGGGCTGACATGACTCAGGCCGACTCTGGGGCACATTGGGGCACCGTGCTTTGCTGTTTTGATCTGTTTTGGCAGTTGCAAATTCAAGGAATGGGAAAAGGCATGGGCAAAATGGGCAAAGGCCTAAACATCTGGCAGCCAATGTTCATGAAGGACATGGGCATTGCGGCAAATCAACGGACATGACATGCTGGGACGTCCAGAAGGCCTCTGGCATGCAAAATAATTTGGGGATATGACGTGAAACCTAGGAGTGCAGGTAGACGTTGCTAGGTCCCTTTTTAGCATCTTTCAATCTCTTTCATCTCTTTCTCAGCACCAATGCAGGAATTATAATAATTAGATTTTATATCATTTTATAACACAGTTGGAGGAATGCCAATTTCTCCCATTGAATTCTTTTCCCACGATTCCGCGCCGATGTTGGACGCCGGGTGATTTCCATAGAATTTGACACCAGGACGGCGAGTTTTGCTCTGCTTCTGTCCAGGACTGGTAAATGCCATCGAGATCAATACAATTTCCATCAAATTCCAACAATGAGGGAGTCCAAGGTGGCTGGACATGGCTGGACCTTGGAGATTTCTGGCTTGCCTTAGTGCCTTGGGTTGTTTTTTGGGATGGTGGACGACAAGGTTAGTTTTGCAACAGCTGGATTCAGGTCTAGGCTAGGTTGACATGAGAAGAATTATAGCAACTTGAAAGTGCTGCACACTCGAAAATCGCCACTCCTCACAAATACGATCTTATCGCAAGTGCTATAGCAGTCGGTGCCAATTCAAAAGGACATCGGTGCTGACTTACAGCTGTTGCATGTCACCTGGACATGTAGCAAGGCAAACTATGAGATGGCGCTGTTTTGCCACACTTGCCGATGTTTGCCACGTCGTAGTCCGTGGTTTCACAAAATGAATTTCAGATAGTGATGACAATATGATCAGCAGCGTGAGCGGGTTCAAAATTTCCCTAGCTGTCCTAGTTTGTTTGTGCTGTGGATTTGTTTTCTGACAGAAAAATTGGTCACCTGCGACTGTTTGCCAGCAATTGTCACGTTAGCTTTTTTTTTTTGGTTTGTTGGTATTGTAATCGCATTCCCTCATATTCCCTCGATTTTCTTACTATGCAGGCCCAGCTGCGAAGTGTGGAATCTACTGTCTCCTGGAAAGCGGATCAATCAGCAGCTTGTCACACCATGCGCTCACCCAGCGCTGACTTTTCAATCCGTTTGTCCATTTTTAGCAAGGTCCCGTTGATAGTTGATATTTAGAGATGTGTTGAGCGCCATTCCCAAGAAGTTTCCTTCATGGCCGGCCGCGTTATCTTGTAATGTAGTGTGTTGCAACGTGTGTAGTTCCAGGCAGTCGTTAATGTGCCCAAGAGCGACCCGGCAAATCTCGAGACAGCGAGGATCCCCCCCATTCTGGCAGAGCATCTCTGAGGTCACCAGGATCCCCCTTGTTAACCGCTTGTGTCCGTCTGAGATGTCGATATTCCTGTAACTCCAGCAGAGTCCAGCGGAGTCCAGCGGAGTCCAGCGGAGTCCAGCGTTTTGAGTCCTTCAGATACAATCGATTTTTGCTGATGCAAAGCAGGCGTGGCATGTGGCCAAGCATCCACCAATGTTCCACCAATGTTTACATACCAACAACGCAAGTTCATCGCACGAACCTTCGACCAGATTGCTATCTATCAAGCGGACGCAGTTTCTACATGCCTCAATCTTCTGACCATTTATTTTCCCCAAGTGCTTCTGCATGCCAGTTGACCTCCAACAAATGCAGGCATATCAGGCATGTCTATGCCTGTTGGACCTAGACAGGCATGCAGATACTTGTGACATCTTGCAACTACGAAGTTTACGCCATAGAAAAGCAATCCAGATAATATGTGAATGCACACGTATTTGGCAGCCATGCATGCATTGTGATGAAGCGTTTGTCCAAAGGTCCTGGACATGAACAGACGTACATGTATTTGTCATTATTTGCCACTGTTGAAAGAACTGGGTCTGGATGAGGAAGAAAAGCACTGTCTGCGTTGGGCACATCCGAGGCACTTGAGGAAGTGACGAGAAGCGCAGAGATTGCCACCAAGCATGCAGAAACCAAGGTGAAACGGTTTCCTGCATTTGGAATGCACAGGAAGGAAAACTAAGGAAGGGCATCTAGTTTGTTCATGTTGTTCCGAGGGAGTTGAAGCTGGCAGACATGAAATACAACATGAAATGCGAGAGACAGAGTGGATGAATCAAAAAAAATCCAAAAAAATAATTCGATTCCATGGATCAATATGGATCAATTGGAATTGCCACGGGACGATGGGCTCTGGCAGTCTGGGCTCTGACGGGGATGGAAATCTGCAGGCGGATCAAAGCGGTTTAAACAGAGTACTGGCAGCTGCCCAGAAGCTGCAAACGCAGGCCTGCTGCCATTTGGTGCATTTTGGTGCCCTTGCACATCTTACTGAGAGTGACAGTAGGTGAACGTAAGTGACCAATCACAATTATATGTTATAAATTATATACGAGTGTGAGGCGTTTGTCGAGTGTGAGTGCTGTATTGCTTCGCTTTGTTTTGGAGAATATGCAAGCAAACATACCTGCAACTCTCAGTGAGAAGGGAGAGAGAAAAAAGAGAGGGGGAATATGGGGGAATCATGCACAAGCAAAAGAAACATGAGAGGCACTCCAATAGTTTTCCACTATAGTCACTATGCATTTTGTCACCTAGACTGATCCTGAGATTTCCTGAGGTTTTGCAAATAGAGAAGATTGTGCAGGAGAGTTGTGAAGAGCAGTCAAGAGTTCAGTGTGGATGCAGCTTTCGGTTTGCTTGTCGCGGCCGTGGCAGGATTCACAGGGCCGAATACAAAAGTTGGAAATGCACAACTTGCCTGGACACGCTTGAAGCTCAAATTCGCACATTGCGGAGGCGCTAGCTTAACTTTATAGTAGTTACTTGTAAGGTCTCCTAAGTCGATGCTCGATCTTTTATGATTTCACTTCTCAAACTCCCTGCTTCACAATTGCGCGACTACAATCTAGAGACTCAGACCAAAGTAGCCCAAAAATATCCTTCGCTATTCCATGTGCTTTTGGACGGGCGGCTGCAACTTTCAAAAGGATTGGAAAAAGATGAAAAAGAGAAAGTGTCACAAACAAAGGCGCAGCGAGTGTCTGACCAGCTTGGGAAGACCCGTGCCCAGCAGCAAGCCAAGAACCGATGCAGACACAGGCTGCTAATTCAGCGACACGCTTGCAGTATAAATGGTGTTTCCGACGGGCACCACCAAGGCTGCAGAAGATCCACGACGTTCTGGCCACAAAAGTAGTCGAAATCCTAGTCCTAGTTGTTTCATGTTGTTTCGACTTGTCGTTTTACAATCGGACAGTACTTGAAGAATCCTATTTGGCCCCAGCCATATCCTACCGTATCCTACCTATTCGATATTATTTGATTTGTGCAGGATGCTCGCGACCTGGAGGCAAGTGACAGGATTCTTGCAGTCACTGGGATCCTTCGAGCGGTTTGGCAGTCGTGCAATGTCCAGGCCTTGGCCAACGCCACCAAGGACATGGGTTTGACCGGGATGGACCGGGATGGACCGGGGCCAGGGTTCAAATCGGATCACCTGTGCCAAGCAGTGCCAAGCAGTGCCAAGCAGTGCCAAGCAGTGCCAAGCAGTGCCAAGCAGTGCCAAGCAGTGCCAACGGCTCCAAGATGATCCGGGTGTGAAGATGTGTGAAGGGGTGCAAAATGGTGCAAATCTAAACGGACATGGGATGTATTGATATGTATGGCATAATAGCATATCTCTTTGAATCAGAGAATTGGTATGGATCGCAGTTACAGATTTTACAGGGATTTGCAGTGAAGCAAAAACAAACGCTGATGGAATTGGCCATGAGATGCGGGTCCCGATTTCATTTAGGGTGGAGCGGTAGCTGTGATGAAACATCTACAAACACCTTTGCAGGAGTTGCAGACTGCAGTTGCCCTGAAAGCCATCCTCACTAGTTGGATGCATCGGGCATTTTGTTAGAGTTGCCTAGAGGCGTTCGACATCGTTCGACTATTCTTCACTGGGTATAGTGCCATTGTTGACCTGGTATGGTCTGAGCTTCAATGCATTAACTATCATTAACTCATATGAACTCTAGAGCCAGGTGGGCCCGCAGAGTTTGCACGAGATCCGCAGTATGCTGCGGGACATGCAGCTAAAGCTCGCTTCTGAGTCTTGATCAGATTACTGATATACTTCGTATCAGTCACTTTAGCAATGTGGATTGAGCGTTCTTGAAATCAAAACGTGCCTTAGGTTGGACCTCAAGGTTGATGCGTAGGAAACTTGGATCGGCTCTGGCTAGCCACGGAGATATGACTATGAATGGAAGAGCAGAGACATTTTCTTTGCCAGGGCAGTGGCAGAAGAGTTGCAAGCAGGGCATCCTCCTCAGCTTATCATAGCTTATCATAGCTTCTATCGCTTCATCTCTCGGCAATTCTGTGCGGTATGATGCGGTATGCATCCGTGCGGTGCTTTGATCAGCCAAAACTTGTGCCGTTTCTGACTGTTTCTACAGGTTAAACAGGCTCCAGTCCCAGCTGACACAGAAAGCGCAGGCCCAGGAGATGCCGCCAGTCCATTTGTCCCAACTGGGCCATCAGGGTGCAAACTTTGTGATTTGTCCTCTTGATTTCTCATTTTCATTCATTTTCTTCATTCCCTTCATTCTTTATTCCATTTTTTATTCCTCTTTCATCATTTTTTAATATCTTTCTGCGACGCTATGTCAGCCCCTAGCCCTTGGCCCTCTCGTTTCAGCCAAACGAGTTCGGATCAAGCCACGAGAGTCAGCCGATTTAGACCTTGTAGGAGCTTCGTGAAGCAGCTTCAACAATTCAGAGCTTGAGGCAGGACAAGGGCATGCCAAGGGCATGACAAGGGCATGACAAGGGCATGACAAGGGCATGACTTCTCGGTTTGTCATCATCGAATCATGGCATCGACATGCATCGACAAGATGATCAAGATGTCTGAAGCTTGCAGCGTCTTTTTAGGATCATTTTAGGAGACTTCACGATATTTTCGGATATTTTTGGACCAGTTGCAATTCGCAACGTCATTTGACATTTTGTGCTATGCTGTCGTGCAGGGCAAACTTGGACGGCAAAGTTGTGAGTGACTCAGTGTTCATCCATGGTACGAGAACTTGGTCATCTTGTTCCTAGGGATGCTCAAGGCCATGCTATGCCATGCTCTAAATATGTTGCCAAATGTTGCCCATGTCATCCCATGTCTTTCAATTGAAATTCAATTTGTTATATTTGTTCAAGTCCAACTTCTGAGGACTTTGCATTGCTGAGTCGGGATTCTCATTGTTAGCCAGGGTACGGTAGAGCTGCGGGCATTTGTGTGCCTACAGCTGGTTGAGTTATAGGATGTTATGTGCACACGCACTGGTGTGTATATGTATTATTTTCACACATGTATCTAATTGCATATATTTATGAGACGGGGGGATAGAGAGAGAGGGAGAGAGAGAGAGAGAGATATGTATATATATATATATATATAAAGTAGGTATTTGATATGCGCTGGCCATTTCAAGAAAAGGTTGTTCAAGTGACGCTAAGTGGATCTAAGTGGATCTAAGTGGCACCTGAAGAAGTTGCAGGTGATGTCAGGGTGAAGGTGCAGACGCTGGAGACCTGCCTAGACAAGAAAACCGACTCTAAGGAGTGAAGCAGTGCCAAAAACATCATTGACATGTTTGAAATGCAACGAAATGTCCATGAAATACAGCTATGAATCTATGAACTACCGTGGGCCGTGGGATATCATGAAATATCTCTACATTGTCTACATATATCTTTCTTCATACTCGTTCATTCTAATTTGATCTTTTTGTCACTTAGAAACAGCATAGCCAGGACATCCAAGAGCTGGGCTGGCTGAAGGAGACCGTAGTGCAGAAGGCAGAGGAAGTTATGAGCAGAGTACGTTGTGATACGTTGCGATAGGTACGATATGTTGCGATCAGGGATCCAGAAGATTTTTGAAAGTCTGAAGATGGTGACATAATGTGACATTTGTTAATCAATTTTAATCATAGAATCAATTCGAATCAATTCGAATCAATTAGAATCAATTCGAATCATAGTACCAACTGCCACACGAAAGGCGGAACGGAGGCAAGTGAGCGAACTTTCCAGTGCAGTGGAGCGGCTGCAGCAGGAGTTACTTGGCGCGTACGGAGCCATAAGAAAAATATCGAACATATAGAACACAAGAACATACAAGAACCGGGCACTGAGAAAATCTGAGACAATGACGTGAATGTATGAAGAGATGCGGGCACTTTTTGCACAATTGAGCTGAGTTTTTTGTTTGGGCTTCTGAAGCTTAACATCATATCATATTTATTCATATTTTATTTTCACATATTTTCACTTGGGGGATTATTTATTTCATGGCAGCGGCACTGTCTCACGTGTCATGAAGCAAGGCTTCACTTCAGTTTGGAGAATGACCGTGCAGCTTTTCGAAGAGAGCTTGAGGCCTCCGGGAAGCGAAGTGAGTGCCGAAATGGGAACCCCTACCGTGTCTCTCAATCGTTTGGACCTGCATGTGCAATCATTGTAATCATCATCCCAGGACTCCATGTCAGGATCTATGTTGCATCAGAAATGATGAAACTGAATGAAACTGATGAGACATATTGAATCATATTGAGACGATTCGAGACGTGAATAGACACTGTGAACGAGGCCAAAATCATCAGGGGCTTGTCGAAATTTGTCGATTCGTTTGGGATTCTGTGAGGCACGGGTTGAAAAGATGGACCAGCTGGAACGCGATATCCAGAATGCTGGCGCTCCCAAGGGCCATGGCACATCAGCATCCATCTGCATCAGCATCTAACCAATCAAATCAATCAACGCAACAAAATGGGATCAATTATGACAGTTTCAAGCTGATCTGGAACAAGCATAAACAACACACTTTGGAAATGTTTGGAGATTTTGTCATCCCATGGCCGCTGATGTCGGTATACAACTGAGGCAATGGCCTGCGTGGAAGGCTTGACGGCCAAAGTAGTGCGGGTGCCAGATGGGTTGGGCATCAGATGGCATCAGCAACTCACAGCACTTCAAGGATTTTGATGGATTTTGGACAATTTTTTGGGTAGTGACCATCAGTGGCCACTGACATCCAATGACATCCAATGACATCCAATGACATCCAATGATATATGCAATGACTCTGCTGAGGACGCCACCCCGCGGCCTGCAGACACAACATCTCCACGAGGGACTGCCTCCCCCAGAGGGAGCTCCCCGAGAGGTGAGGAGAAACGGGATGAAACGGGAGAAACTTCCGGACCTTCAACTGACCTCAACTTGAACTCAACTTGAATCAATTACAATCAATGACTTGGATGATATCTTGTAGCACCATTGATAATATTGGAGCACGCGAAAGCATTTTAGAATATGTCTGATCATTTTGGGTGCATTGTGAAATATTCTGGATGCAGTCTGCATCATAAATCCATTGTCCAGAATTATATCCAAAGAATTATCAAAACCTTCAGACTAAGATTTTAATGATTGGTCCAACTTCCAGGGCGCCTTGCAATGCCTTGCAGGCAGCTCTCCGCCACCGGAGAAGGGAGCTTTCGCTGCGGTAGAGCGGCTTGAGACGAATCTCCGCCAGGTGGGCAGATGTCGGATGTGCAGGTGAAATGATGTGACTGATGTGACATGTGTTAAGACTGTTAAGACTGTTAAGAGCAACCAGAGCAACCAGAGCAACCAGAGCAAGGGCATTTGAAACATGGAATCCCGATGAACTTAGTCAACACAATATGGATAACATGCTCACAGATACACGTACATTCGCACACACACACACATATGCAGATGCATATACAGATGTCACACACGATATATATATATATATATTATATATGTATATATTAAGGTCCAAAAATGATATGCATTGCATTCAGTCACTGCTGCTGCTGGTTTGAGCTGTTTTGCGTTCGTTGCTCCTTACCTTGTTTGCTTCAGAGCTTTTGAAGCGCTGAGGCAATGCACCTTTTAGATGGCAAGGTGGATAGATCTGAGATTGAGGACGCTTTTGACGCCTTCAGAATTGGTAAGACGACTATGTACTTAGGGAATAATGTAAAGACGAGTTAAACCATTTTAAGACAATGCATGACTATAATTATGCACGTAAGAGCAACTGCAAAAAAAACACAAAATGCGAGGAAATCATCCATATTTGGGAACTGAATTCACTCAATAGTAGACGCTTTAGATGCAATGACCTCAAGGACCTGGTACTTGCAACCTCCGTGGCGGAGCAGCAGCAGGCTTGCCGGCTTCGCAGCGCTTAATCTTGCTTACCCGGCTTACCCTATTTTTTCATATCTTTTCAATTTTTTCCCTGCCCTACTCCTTTCCCATCCTTTCCCATCCTTTCCCTATTTGAAACTGTTCCAGTGCCTATAGGCAGTCAAGGCCAGTTGTCAGGCAACGGTCAGCAAAGTGGCAGACCTGGAAGGGCAATTGCAAACAGTCCATGCCTCAGACATTTGGATTATTTTGGATCATTTTGCTTCCTTATTTTGGAATATTTTGGATCCTTTTGGGCCTCATGCTCAGGCAACTGATTCTTTACGGCGGAAGGTTGACCGAAGAGAAATCGAGGACAAGCTTAATATATCTACACAATTCAGAGCATCTCTCTCTCTCTCTCTATATATATATATATATATTACATTGGGATTTCAATCAGCATCAAATTGGTTGGCCACCTTTCACATTCCTCAAGATGGTTTCCTTACGGCAAGAGCTTAAGCTAGGAGATCCCAACCTTGTCAAGTATGTTCCCATTTTCCAAATATGGTGAGAATCTAAACTGTACAGTTATAAAATGTTATAGGAGCTTCTGAATGCAGCTGCTGAAGCTGCAGCAGAGGGGATCTCTGGGCCTGGAACCAAGATAGCCAAGAACGACATGTGCAAAATGAAAAATACCGAACGCTTAAAGTTGAGTGCTTTTAGATTTTAGATCTTCTTTTAGATGCCTTTAAACTTTAGATTCTTTAGATTTTGTAGATCTTTTATATTCTCATATCATCCATTAGGTCTATGCATGACGGGATGTCTGGTGCAGACCTCAGCTTTCCGGTCTGCTCTGGCCTTTCAAATCAATCCTTCTTCCAATACCCTTGAGAGTTCTGCTTCCAATGCATTGAAATAGCCATGTTCCTGCAAGGATCTACACGGGGTCTTGGGCATCCATGGGGAACTGTGGGATTTATAATGGATTTTTACAGCTGTTCCAAAGACTCGGTCCGCAGGTCTGCCTGTTGAAAGTCTGACAACCTAGACGTTAGCAGGGTGACAGTCTTTTCTGAAACACGGAAACATAAGAGAGAGAGAGAGAGAGAGGGAGAGGGAGAGG